CACACTTTGATATTTTACTAAAACTTGATGTATTACGTGCAATTATTAATTCTCGCACACATAACAACATAACAAAAACTTATCAACGCCCATTCTTGCGGTGGAAATTGATTCTTCGGTTCTAAATTTCTTGTAAACAATTTGTTCAGTTCACTAAGTAAACATGCAAGCGCGTACCATCGATGGTACACGTGGCACGGAACGTGTTAAGACTACAGATTCCTACGCATGTATGGTGTACGGGGATTTTTGAAATACAGAATTGACGAAAGATATATTCTTCGTTTATTTGATAACTGAAACGTTGTCGACCTGACTGGAAAACGCGGACAAGAAACGCGATAAAATCGACGAACTACGATCCCCTATCAGGGGAACAGCTTTCCGAAACAGGTTCGCCGAATCAGTTTCGGGAACGTAAACATGTTTGATTGCGGTCGTATTATCTTTTTGCGGTGGCTACATCCTAGATCAACCCGAAACTACTTCGGAAGATTACGAATAACTTCCTGCTCAGTTCACATTCGGGTATCGCCGGGATATTATGCGACAACGAACTCGCGATCGTAATCTTCTCGGTGACATCGAATTATTCGCAGTGCTTGCGATCCGATTTCATCGGCGTTTTCTACGATACTATATACAGGGTGTTCCGAAAATGTCTCGCAATCCGAAAGTAGGGGATTCCTGAGGTGATTTGAAGCAACTTTTTCCTTAGCGAAAATGCAATCCGCGGCTTCGTTTACGAGTTATTAACGAAAAACAGTGACCAATCAGAGGCGAGATCATTTGGCGCGAGACGGCCGAGCTCGCCTCTTATTGGTCAGTGTTTTTCGTTAATAACTCGTAAACGAAGCCTCGGAGAAAATTTTCGCAAAGGAAAATGACCTCAGGAACCTCTTATTTCCGAATTGCGAGACATTTTCGGGACACCCTGTATAATCATAGCAAGAGCTTAACGCTTTTTGGTTCCCGCGAGATGATTCGCGAGAACGTTGAACTTTTGGTAAGTTTTTAGAAAACTGAGCACAGTAATTTCTCCCTAATTCGCGCTGAGATAGCGCACAAAGAAAGGACAATTTGGGAAGCGGAGACACGATTATTCGAGCCTTGCGGCTCGTTTTTATAGTTACCGATTCATCGACAACTCCTCTTCCCAAATTGTGCATTTTTGTGCGTAATCAGAGCGCGAATCAGGGAGAAATTACTGTAATTGCTACAAATTCTTTGGTTGGAAAGAAAAAAGAAATAAAAAAGAAATGCGCGACTAACTTTATCATTGAAAGGGTCGACTAGCTTTATCATTGCAAAAATAAACTCTGGATGAGATCTGTGATATCGCTTGGAACAACGGACGAACAAATTCGGGAAAATTCCGGACCCAACCGAAACGGTAGCCGTGAAGCGAGAAAAAAAAAGTCGAAAGAAAGATTAATTGCGGCAAAACGCGGCTAGAAACGTTATTAATTGCTGGCAAATCGCCCCGAACGCATAAAGATCCGCTGTCTGGACGGATTGGTCTGAATAAATCCGAGAAAACCCGCGAAACGTGGCCAACGTCGACCACGTCGAATGGAAATCTTTTCGCTCGGAGTAAAAAGCGACGGGAGCAGCCACGAAGACGCAAGAAAATCGAATCGCACGGATATCTGATGCACCGGGCAGCCTCGTTTCCATAACTTACCCGGCCGGGGAACCATAACGTTGCGAAAACAATTAGTTAATGGGACGCGGACGAAGTTTACGAGCCAATCGAGTTACGCTTAATAAAGTCAGAGCATTTTAAAGTTCCGTCAGTAGCCTGGTTCGATCTATCGCTCGGAACTATCGCCTCGAATTAATGGGGCTTTTAGGGCTCGTGACCGCTGGCGAATCGCATCGAATCGGATAAACGCGGCACTCGTTTCGCCTGCTAATTACGAACAGAGCGATGAGAGAGAACAAAGTCGACGGGGTGGTGGACGAAGATGTCCTGTCGCGAATTACGTTTCGAGACGAAACGTGCATGTAATTTGCGGATTTGACGCATTTATGGCAAAAATGAGTAGATCGAATGCGAAACTGTAAAATCATTTCAATAATTCGAAAATATTATTGAACTGCTGTTAACTCGCTAAAATTATTAAGGAGACATTAATGAAGACAATTTTCTTATTTATTTATTTCTTTATTCATTAATTTATTTATATTTTATTTCGCTTCTTCTTTTTTTAATCATTTTATTTTCCTCTTTTTACTCATTTTATTTTTTAATTACTAGATCTTTATGCAAAATTGAAATGTTCTGTATCGTTGCATGAAGTAGAAACCAAATATTCCTTTCGATCATTCAAATTGCCTGAAATATCTTGGCGTTTTCAATCCCATTTAATCTCCTTATGAGTTTAAATTGTACATTACTCAATTTTCTTATAAATGCGCGAAAGTTGCAGTCTAGTAATTACCGTATTTTAATGGTAAAACGTAACAAAAAAATGTTAACTGAAACGTTAGAGAAAAGGTTAGGTTAAAAAAAGAAAAGTATCGCGACCATTGTTGTAGACTCTTCGTCGACTTAAACAACTCCTGAATCATCTGCGATCATCGAGTCTCGCTAACTGACCGACCACTGTGACTGCGTGACTGTAAAATGTATGATCGACGATGGATAGCGAAAGCCTTGCGAAGTTTATAAACAGGCGGGCCTAATGTTTCATGTAACACGTCGAGCGTTGGGTCGTCAGAGAATGAGACAAAAACCGCATGAATGTTTCAACCCCCTAAAATAGGAGGACCAGTTAAGGTCAAGCGTCAATCGTTCGAAGTTCATCGATGTACGAGGCGAGCCGCTTGCATGGAACAGTGAAACGAATATTCCAGTGGCATCGCTTTAGAATTATATTATCGACAGACGTATTAAACATTCAATGGATGCTTCCGCGAGTGGAAGTAAGCATACTTCAACAGTGACGTGAAAACGTTTAACATTTGACGGGAACAAAAACTATACACATATACTATATATGTAATTTTGCATTTCACCTGGTCATATCGGTTCCGCAAAATGCAATTTGTATACAAAACTACAATTTATGAACAACAAAATAGAGACATACTTGCACGGCTTTCTTCTGCGTTGGTCAGAGCTGGATATTATTCAAACATTTCGAATAAATTTGTCGATTAAAATTGTATTCGTCTAATCTTTCGAATATATCTCCTCGAATAAATTTTTCGAATAAAATTGTATTCGATTAATGTTTCGAATAAAATGTTTTCCGAATCACGCTTCGAGATCACCATATTTAATTCGAATAACGAATAACGCGAATACAATTTTAATCGACCAAATACTTCGAATAAAATTTATTTGAATCGATTTTACCAATAAATTCTAAACGAATAAAATTCATTCGAATGAATTCTACGAATAAAATGTTGTCCGTTATTCGTATACCAAACAATCTATCATCGAGTAACAAATGTTTGGAACATCAATACATCCGCGACGCCGATCAGAGGCGACCGATAAGGGATTAATAAAATCGTCGAAGCAATAGGAGCATCATCTGATAAGACGAAAGGTGACGCCGAAAAGATCCTTAGTCCAATTACAAGCATCATAATGGCTGTTTTTCTGTCTAGGATCCCGTTTCGTCGTGCGGTATATCGGTGGGGATCGATGGGTCCCGCGATCGAACGATCGAGGGGTGGTTTTTCGGGCGCCTGCGTCGCCGTCGAAGTTCGCGACGCCTCGCGCCGACGTGGTTCTATCGCCGCGTGTCCCGCCCCCCGCCCCTCCTGTACCCTCTTTCTCTGGCGGCCTTTGGATTCAGCACGTGGCATCAAAGGGAAGATATACAGCGGGGTGGTCGCTCTTCCCGGCCAAACGGCGACGACCCTCGCTCGTCGTCGCTCGTTTCACGCGCGCGATTTCGAGGAGCCCCCGTCGTCGATCGTCGCTACTTCGCCGTCGCTGCTCTCGCGGCCACGATAATCATCCCCCCGCGAGTTCGTCAAGTTCGTCATGTTCCGGTGAACCAGCACCGGGCACCGACACGGATTCACCGCGTACCTCGGAACCATCGAGAACCATGCTCGGCGGAGTCATCTAGATCCAGACTACGCTATGATATCGCATCCGGGTGAGCTTGGTCTTTCATTATTTGTTTGTGATGGTTTTGTATGATTTTCTCGGAGATGTCCACCTTCATACTTGTGGTGCCATTGAAAATTTGCCCCACGTTTTAATCTAATTTTTCCTCCTATTAACTACTTCATATTGTCTTTTAAAATGTCTTTTACATCGTTGCTACTTTTGTCACATTGTCTACTAAATTGTTTGACAAATTATCTGCTGAATTGTCTGATACATTGTCTCCCAAATTGTCTGATGCATTGTCTTTTAAATTGTTTGATACGTTGCTTTCCAAAATTGTCCGATACGTCGTCTTTTAAATTGTTTGTTACATTGTCTTCTAAATTATCTGATACATTGTCTTCTAAATTGTCATCCAAATTGTCTTCTAAATTGTCATCCAAATTGTCTTCTAAAATTTCTTCGAAATTGCCTTCGAAATTATCTCCCAAGTCCGAGGAAGTGTTCTTGTAGACACATTGATCTCGCTACTGTTCACAATGGAACACGTGATCGTCGATCTAAATAAATCGTCAGGATCTGGACCGTGAAACGATGGTTTTGATATGCACCGTGTCAAAATAAATCCATTCCGATGGCACTCAAGACCGTCGACGGTTTTAGTTGGTTTTCAAGACTCATTCAACACTTTGTCTTTGAATTTCTGATTTGCAACGAGTTTCATTTGCACGCGATTCGTAGACGAAGTAGAATATTAACAAAAGATCCGACGTTTAATTTGGCGTGCACCTGGCAGCTTGAGGAAGGTGGAAATCCCGGTTAATGAATTTAGAGCGCGAACCGTGTAGCGTTTCGGCCGGGAAAAAGGGGAGCGGTGGCGGGCGACGCGCGGATTTTTATTCGTTTACACTTTCGAGTGGGCTGAATTGCCCTCTACCCTCGCGCGCGTTTCTTCCGGCAGGAGGACCATGCTCCCGGTGGTCGAAGAGAACTTAGGAAAAAGCGCTTCTACATAAAAACTCTGTGAAACTGTTCCGTAAAAGAGCCCGTCCCAGCTGTTTTAATGCTCTCAGTCTACCATAAGCGAAATACTAGGAAAGTTCAATTAAAACTTTCTGCATGTGTAGTTTATGTATCTTGATGTGCACCGATACACCGAGGCTGCCTAATCTTAATAGCCGGCTCCTTTGCATTCAAAAAGTTTCCCCGCCCGTCATCTTCATTGTCGCAGTGACAGTATCTGGAAAGGTGAATCGTATCTCGACTCATGAATAATTTATACAAAAATACCGCGACTGGATTTTATACAGAGGCTGGATCGGAATGTCTACTTTCTGTGCGCTCGCAAATCTCACGTCACGTCGCCGAGATCACAGAAAAATAATTACCGTCAGTTGATTTATTAGATAACCGGTCGCGACAGTATCTAATAATTAACGAGCTTTATCGTTTCCCTTGCGGATTAGAAGTGGGCTTGCCCGTCTCTCCTTGCATATAAAAGAAATACCATAAAGTAACATAAAATAAGATAAAATAAAAGGAAGTAAAATACAATAAAATTAAGTAAAGTACAATAAAATAAAATAAAGTACAATACAATGAAATAAAGTAAAATACAAGAGAATCAAATGAAATAAGATGAGCAGAGCCTGTGTGTAGGTTCGATCGTGACGGTAATGGTGTCAGGAAGCGTTATTTTCCAAGCTTCTTTTTGTGACTTTCAATCACGTCGAACGAGACGGATCGACTGGCTTGAAAAATGTAAAAATGGTTCGTCTCTGAGTGGGACAATTGTACTGTTTACCAGACAATTTGCGTTCTCTCGAGACAATGGGGGTTAACTCGGAAAGTTGCTGTTTAACGATCGCCGGCGCACGGTTTTTCCTCTATTTTCCGCGACGACACAGGTGTCGTTTGAAAATCCTCGAGCGGCCCCGGGATCGATTCGTTTCGACGAGTTGCGTTTCCGCACTCGCGGGAATGGAAATGAGTTTATGGAGCCAGGCAGACAAAATCGATGTACATCGTGTTAATAATATACGGGCAAGGTCTACAACCTTTCGCGAATGAACGCTGATGTAAAGACGTTGCTGTCTCTCTCTCTCTCTCTCTCTCTCTCTCTCTCTTTTTCTATCTTCTCCTTCCCTTTTCAATTCCCGCGTTATAGTCCCACCCCTCTCGGGGTCGAACGACGTCGCCGGAATAGCGTTTCATTCCGGCAACCTCGGACAAATCGTTTTGTCCTTAAATGTCTGAGCGATCTGGCCGAAATCCTGCGAACCGTCGACTCGCCGCGAGATAAAAATGGCGATGCTGCACGAACCTCCACGAGAAATCTCGTGCAGTCCGTGGGAAATACTGGCCGATAACAATTTTTGCGTTTCCATGACCTGCGGATGATCCTCGTCGATTCTTATCACCCTCGAATTTTTAGGGAATTTCATTTCGGAAACTGTGTCGAACGGTCGACTTCGGGAATTTCTTCTACTTTTACTATAACAGTTACGGAAATGGTTCTTACTTAGATTTATTCTGTAAAGTCTCCCGAATGTTAGAGTATTTCTGTTTATGACATTGCTAACTTTTGAATGTGTTTAAATAATGTTCAAAGGGGGTGAAACGATTTTAACTCGTCAGTTGGTTCGATAGCCTCGTAACTATTTTATTTTGTCAATTCGGAATGACATCTGCGTTCTGACAATTTTCAATAAATTTCTATAAGTTTTTATAATTTTTTGTAGTAGAAGGTCCATGCTATTGCGCAGTCCAATTAAATTTTGCTCCGATCCATGGTTTTCTAAATAAGTTTGAAATCTCCGAAAAATTTAGTTTTTAAGCATGTTCAAATTCATTCTAATTAGACAGCAGATTTTATGCATTTATGGTAAAATTGGGTAGTTACAATTTTAAATAATATAAAAATGTACAGCGTTTTCAAACGTCAATGTATTATTTTCAATCTATTAAGATGATTAAAGGAAGAATTAAGTTGCTACACTTGGTTTCTGTTCCCAGCAATTGATGCAGACAATTTCCAAACAAATTCATACAAATTCTCAGTCTAATTATATTGTTACAAAAAGGTACACTGTCACACTCTCGGGAGAATCGTTCCACCTAAATCATTCGCCTAACTGTTACAGTTATTGCAGAAAAAAAGTCCGATATCTCGATCTCATAATATTGACTTTTGATGTTATAATTGACATTTCGGAATTATTTCATAAAAAACCGTACGATCGATCGTTTTGAAATGACCAGGATAATTTGTCGCACGGTTGACGTAACGAAAAAAATTCGTTTCGACAGGCAAATATATTTATTATTTGTCGAAATGAAAACTGTTTGTTTCGCGCGTCGGCGTTGACGTTCTCTGTCGCGACGTGCAACGTAACGTCGTTTGTATTCATCTGAAACTGACAATCCGAAGTGGCATGGTTTTTTCATGATTCCATGTGCTACGGGATTCTATTTTTAGCGGAAGCGAAGCGAAATCGTAAAGGTTGTGACAATCGCGGGAGAGATAGCCATTTGTATCAAAAGTCTCCCGAGAGAGTCCAATTTTTTAGAATATTTCAAACAATCGAAATGTCTAAATAGTTGATGACTGTTCTCGTTCACATGCATTCCCTCGCAGTATGTTATAAGCGACGTATTTATGCAAAATAAAAATTGTCTGCATCAGTTGCAAGAAATAGAAACTCTCTCTCTCTCTCTCTAAATAGAAAAATTCTTGTTTCCTCGATCATTTTAATGAAGTAGGAATAATATGAGATTCAAAAATTCTTAAATACGTAAAATCCGCAGTCTATTTATTTATTATTTATTATTAGACTGTCGATTTTACGTATTTATGACAAAAATGAATAGATCATATACAAAATTGTAAGGTTATCAGAAGAATTTGAGGACGTTGTTACATTATTTTCAACTTATTATAATTACTAAAGGAAGAAAGACATTTTCAACTAATTTATGTTTCTTGCAATTAACTAAAACAATTTTTATTTTGCATAAAGATCCGCTAAGTCTATTTATTGCATTATTAAAGAAAATATTGTCACAGAACCAAGTCTCCATTATCTTTTTTAAATCGAACAATTTTCGAAACCATCGCCTCACGCGTTTAAAATTCAAAAATAATCGTTCAAACAGGTCAAGTATCTTTTTTATCGTCTAAAATGTGCAAGGACCGACGATTCAACCAGCTCCGCGAGGTTTATGTTTATTCATCGAATCCCGTGGGCATTTGACGCAGATGAAAAAAGAAGAGGATGTAAAAAAAAAGAGTCCTTGTTTGCATATCTATCAGCGAGATGCTCGCCCGATTCGCGCACGCGACGAGCTTCCCCGATTAACCGAGGAAAATTTCGGCTTCCGTTCGAAAATTTCGCGCAACGTGAACCAATTTTTCCGGCAGCAATTTGTCCGCTATTAATTTGCAATTCCACGAGCCCGGTCCTTCCGTGCACGGAATTCCACAGACACCGATTCTTGCGCTATATTTCACGACGGCGACGGCTCGATAAGGATCACAATTAAGCGCACTGTTTGTCTTGCGCCATTTGCCGGCATAATTCTCCTTACGCAAAATTATGCGCGGCTACTTCCGGCCCGCATCGATTGCGACATGGGAAAGCGTGGAATAATTGAATGGGCGCGACGGTTGCCGGTGTTCTGCAACATCATGAATTACCAAAAATGGAATTCAACAATGGCGAGTAAATCGGCATCAATTTCGGCTAATTGAGTAAACTCGATTTGATGCGTTCGCGGCAAAAGTGAATCGTAGAAATGCAATACCGCGTTCAAAGAATTTGACGCCCGTTACGAGTTAGCCTCGTTAAAGTACGGCAAAGGGTTAAAAGTCGACGTACAACATTATTACACGATTTAACCTAGCAAGGTCTAGCAATAAATTTCAATTTTCTTAATTTTAAGAACGTGATGAACTCGCGTAAATCTGCAGGTTCTGTGTCAGTTATTCCGTAATTAACGGAACGATAAGAAACTTGCGAGGCTTTGCCGTGGCGTTTAGTATCCTCC